TCGGCGTCACCATCTCAACCACTTACGAGCAGCCGTACCATCTTGCACGGAGACTCGCCACGGTCGATCATCTGACCAAGGGAAGGTTTGTCAAGCCAGTGACCGGAACTCATGAACTGATACGTTGCAGTGCTAACCATTGCGCCCCTAGACTTGGATGGAATGCACGTTACGATATCCCAAACACCAGACACGAGGGAGGAGAGAATCTAACAGCGGAATAGGTCGTAACCAGCTATCTCGACTCCGCCGCCAGAAACATGGGGCGCGATCACCAAGCAGATGTAATCCCATCCCCCCTCCCCTTTACCGCAAGCCGTGCCCTAACCTCACTGGCAACCCCACGCAGCACGATGACCGCTACGCGCAAGCAGAAGAGTACATGAAAGTCATGTACAAGCTCTTCCAATCCTCCTGGCGCGACGACGCCGTCCAGCTCGACCGCAAATCCGGCATCTACACCTCCCCCTCGCTCGTCCGCGAGATCAACCACAAGGGCAAGTTCTTCGACGTGCCCGGACCGGCCATCGTGCAGCCCAGCCCACAACGCACCCCGCTCCTGCTCCAAGCCGGCACGTCGCGCGCGGGCAAGGTCTTTGCAGCGCAGCACGCCGAGGCCATCTTCGTGTCGGCGCACGCGCCGCAGGTCTGCGCCAAGAACATCGCCGAGGTGCGCCAGCTGGCGCGCGACCAGTTCGGCCGCGATCCGCGCACGATCAAGGTGCTTGCGCTCGTGACGCCCATCCTCGGCCGCACCGAGGAGGAGGCGCAGGCCAAGCTGAGGGAGTTCCGCCAGTATGCCTCGCACGAGGGCGCGCTGGCCCTGTTTGGCGGCTGGACGGGCATGGATCTGGACCAGTATGGCGACGAGGAGGAGCTGCGGGAGGTGGAGAGCAACGCGGTGCGGTCGACGGTCGAGGCGTATGCGCGCTTCTCGCCCTCCAACGCCAAGTGGACCAAGCACACTGTCGCGGAGCACGTCAGCATTGGCGGCAACGGTCCCATCTTTGTTGGCACGGCGGCGCAGGTGGCCGATGGTCTTGAGACTTGGGTTGAGGAGACGGATGTTGATGGTTTCAACTTTGTGGGTCCTTTCCATCTTCTTCTATTTGACGGTGGGCACAGTCGCTAACAGAGGTTGTGTTATGACAGGCCTACGCTCTCTTCCCCCAGTCGTTCCAGGACATCATTGAGCTGCTCCTCCCCGAGCTGCGGAAACGCGGGCTCTTCTGGGACGACTATGCGGCACCCGGCGGCACCTATCGTGAGAACTTCTACGGCAAGCCAGGGCAGAAGTACCCCCTCGACGAGCACGTTGCGTCGACGTACCAGTGGAAGGCTGGCGTACCGGCGAGCGAGCACGTCATCCCAGAGTAGTGCTGTGACTTGACGGTCTCGTTTTTTGTGAACAGAAATGAATAAATTAGCGTAATAGTCTCTTGCATTTGCCGGCCCGGGTGACTCTCTGTTTCTTTGAATGGCTGGTTTCCATCACCAGAAAAGGTTCCACAGCTTGATACTACAGCCAGACAATTATTGACATATCCTTGTTCAATTGTCAAACTCACTCCCAATCCACCAGGCAACAAAAAGACCAACCCCTCCCCAGACCCCTACACAAACCTCTCGATAAACCGCCACGACTCCGCCGGCGTCCAAGTCGTCTTATCACCCCTATCCATAGGCGTAGGGGTATGGTCCCCATCAAAAGCCGCCCACACCACGGGCTTATCCTTCGCACACCCCTGATACTCATTCACAGCATGCTTCGATCCACTCCCCTTCGCCGGCTCGACAACCTTTCCATCAGCGCTGCACCCGTTGCTCTTGACGAAGCGATCGCGCATGGACCGCCCGCCGTCAATGGGCAGCACCGAGTCAGCCACGCCGTGCTGGCCATAATACGCGATGGGCGAGCCTTGCTCGGCGGCCGCGCACGAGCCGCTGATCTGCGGGTTGCCGGAGAGCACGGCGACCGCGCGGAGCGTGTTAGCTGGTAGCGAGCAGGCGAGCATGTAGGACATGGCGCCGCCGAAGCTGAAGCCGGTGGAGAAGACCAGGTTCGTGTCGATGCAGAGGTCGTTGGTCACGGTGGTGAGGATGGACTGGATGAAGGCTACGTCGGTGCCGTTGGTGTTGGCCCAGCCGTTGTCTAGGCCGTTTGGCGCGACGAAGACCGTTGGGATTTTCGATGATGAGGCGTTTTGGTTGGCCAGCGCGGAGAGCCCATACCAGGAGATGTAGCCGCCTGTGCCGGCGATGACCTGGCTGGCGTCGCCGCCTAGGGCGTGCAGGGTGAAGACTAGGCGGTGGGGGGTTGTCGGCGAAAAGTTGGACGGAAGTAGGACGAAGTACTCGCGGGTTTTGGACGCGATGGTCGTGGTTAGACGTGTGGGCTTGGGCGAGGGGGTGATGAGCTTCGGGGTGGAGGAGCAGCCTGGGGAGGCCCGGGCGGCGAGGGTTGTGGTGATTGTTGTGAGGAGGAGGAGAAGGAAGGTGAGGAGGGGCGATGTAAACGCCATGGTTTTGTGCGTCTGGGGGTGAATGTATGTGAGTTCACTGTTTGAGAGGTGGCCTTGTGAGGATGATGAGTGCTTAAAGGCTGTGGGAAATCTCTTGTTGAAGGGGACAAACAGAATCATATATATACCAGATACCAAAGGGAGACGCAAGATCAGGTTCTATGATGGACAGCTCCCATAGCAGAAACCGATAATGCCAAGGGCCACAAATAATCTGCGGCTGATTGAGGTAAGTAGACCTCGAGTTGGAATCGTCGGTGTATGAGCTGGCGGAGTATAGCCGGGCACTCACCGAGTGACATCGCGAGGCGGGGGACTACATTGACATTAGCCACAGATGCCGATGCCAGCTGCCGAGGCGATGGAACACCTTATTTTGGCGGCTTGGTGATGGTATAGTACCATGTACCGGGCACAACGCCAGGGTTTCATCGTGATAATTGTGTTTTGTACCTTAATTACTGCGCACCCGTGGACTGCACGCCTTTCATCAAGCGAGGGGGTTTCTTTTGGAAATGGTGTAAGTTACTCTATACCAGTAATGCTGGGGTCATAATTAACTCAAGGCACAGATAGAGCCGTGGGCCAAAATACAGGCCATTTCCTGGGTTACTCAACGTCGCGACATAGGCAATATAGGCCAACCCAAAACAAGAGAGTAAAAGACGGACTGGGTGTAGTCATGTACTCTTCAGTTGGGTTGTTGCTCCTCAATTTGCGCACGGGACCAAACGTCGAGGCCCCTGAAAGCGAACAAGCCAGGGACAAAGGAATTGTTGGCCACTGCACTGAGCCCTCTCTTAGCAAGAAGAACCCGAACACATTCTTTAGAGCATGTAATGTAAAAGAAAGAAGACCAGACGTCGCTGGATTATTCCGCAGACCACCAGGCAACAGGTGTCTCTTCACAACGCCGTTGTTCTTCGCCCCTGAGTCCTGTATAAAATCGGGCAACATCTTGTATTATTCACACCCTCCTGTCTTGCCTCCCAAAGTCTTACCAAGTCAATACTCAGCATCACTAGGTCAAGTACTGACTACTAGAGTCTAGTATTGCAGAACCACTGAGCGTCTAACCAGTACAGTCTGACAACTTGAACCCCAACCGCCAAAATGTGCGGCAGTATCCCGAACCACATATACTTCCAGCACATGCTGCAGTGCCTCTGCGAGTGCCCTCAGCGTGACATGGCTACCTGCCCGCACCAGGACTACGTGCGCGCCGCCGAGGACCTGCCACCCGACGCGGAGCCCAAGACGCTGAGCGGCTTCTACCTCCGCGCCGAGGGACAACCCCAGCGGCACGTGTCGTGGGAAGGCCACCACGACTCGCGCCTCTGGACGCAGTGTGATCTCTACAAGGCCACCCACCAAATAAACAAGGGAAGTCAAGGCGAGCCCGTCTACATCCGCAATCACGGCCTGGAACTGCAGTGCCCCAACACCAGCGAGCAGATCAAGAACATCCTCATCCGGCGCGGGCTGTGCGACATGTGCATCACGGGCCACCCCCGCGGCGAGCGCTGGCAGAACAACCCGGCTGACCATGGCGTGTTTCTGACGTATGCGAGCACCAAGCACGAGGAGGCTAGGAGAGACGAGGAGATGCGGATCGCGGCTGAGCTGAACGAGGCCTACGGCGCTGGGTATTCCACCGTCGCTCGGTCACAGGCAGATTTCTTTGCCGGAACGCTCGAGGATGATTGGGTGATGGACAATACGTCTAATAGCGAGTTCACCCTCTAGAACTAAGGTAACTGTCATCCTTGCACCCTGTCTTTACTAACCTTGGCTATAGTTTTCTCTTCCCTTTTTCCTTCTCATTTGCCTGATGGGCATTGAACACGACCGTGACGTGACTTGATTAGCGCGCCTACTCCCAGGTAGGCTGCTCCGAAAAGTCACTGAATAAAACATTCTTTAAGCTACGTATTATTGTTCACGGTTACGTGAATTCTTGCCATGTTCTCCGTGAAATAATGTACATGTGATGGCGTTAGGCAATGCAGCGCTCCAATCAGAGGTGCTGCATGGAGGCCATTCCCGTTGACCCAATTGGCGCGGCAACAGCATCGGTGACGACCAAACCGACTAAAACATGCTGCATCTTGGCATCGCTTGGGACCGTCCGACGGGTACAACCGACATAGTGCACTCGGAAGGCGGCGAGGCATGCAGGATGGATTTTTTATATCGCCGCGTTCCTTTTTGTCACTGGTCTTGTCCTTCAAGTTTAATCAGGCAATATGGAGACCAAAGCTCTCGACCCCTCAGGGAAATGTCAGATTATCAATGCAAAGAAAGGGCTATCGACCAAGTGCGTGCATGCGAAAATTGATGATCTAAGCACCGTGAAATTTGGGGTACGAATATTTGATACGCGACAATTCATAACGATGGCTGAATCATGGCTGTAAACGACATGGGGTCAAAACAGGCAGAAAGTGCAAAAATGAAGATATAATCATTAGGCTTAGCTGCGTGATCCGAGATTCGAACTCGGGTCCCTCGCTGTTCCACGATGAGGATGGGAAGCGAGAATTCTAACCACTGAACTAACCACGCCTCATGATTTTTGGTTGAAATAGACGGTCGCAATTGGGTTTGATAGTGGTCGGCCGCCAGCCTGGGCCCCAAGGCCCCAGGCTAGTCGGGCGCGCCTCAGATATGGGGCGGCAAAAAGAAAGGGGCTGGGAACTTTATCATGCACCCGCCCGTTGGGCATGTGGATACGGGTGTTGGGAATCAAACAGGGGGAATGTGATGGGACTTAAAAGAAGGCGAAAAATCGGTGAAGAATTGATGGAAGCCAAATGTTTTATTTCGCTACGGAATTGAGACCAATAGAAAGCCATGATCATTTGCAATCCAGACCACCATTCGGCGGCGCCCTTGATAAACTGAGGACGACACCAACATATTACATGTCGATGCATCCGTAAAAGTCGATACCGGCGACGACTGTCTCATGATAATGGAAAACTCAGCATGGCGAGCTCATCTAGAAAAGACAAGTCTCACAAGTTGATAATACCACGCGCAACCCGACATTCAGCCACCTGCCAGAAACTTCAAACCTTAAACATAAAATGGATAAGAAATGACGAGCTTAGAGATAGGAAAGCAGATGCAACCTCTAAGTCATATGCACGCCAGGCTATGCTCCCGGGCTGATACAGATATGGATTATACGGCAGGGAACTCAGGCGACCTTGGTTCAGTGACCAAAAAGACCGAGACGAAAGCCAAAAGGGTCAATGCTTCCATGGAGAAATGCTTTTCATTCACCTGCAAGAGCAGCGCATCACAGATTAATAGACTCGAGGCAGCCGGCTCTTCCAATCCACTCTTCATGTCGCACACATGTCACCTCTTGACAGACACTGGATTCCTTCATCGTGACCACACAAGGTCGCACGCACCGGATGACAAAGGGGCAAACACAAATACCCCCGGTGACAAACCCGCATCTTGCAACCCAAATATATTTAAAGTCCGCCGCGCGGCGGTGGCGCATCTATCCTCTATCAACACCAACCTTGCTGGGCATCGAAACCGTGGATCTGCACGCCTCCTTCTGGTTATCTTTAAATACAAGAATTCCCGCCTGAAAATAATCAACCCTCGAACCACTGATCGAATACTCAACATTGAAGCCACTCTCACCATCACATCACCATGGCAGACCCGGACGAATGGAAGAGACATTTGAACTCGCACTGGAAAGGGAAAGAACGAGACGACTCCCTGTACATGCCGCCGACCAACACGTCAACCAACAACTTCACCTTCCCGTCATTCTTCACAAGCCCAACAGCCGCCACCTGCAGTGCTTTCGACTTGCCACCGTTCACTCCGCGCTTTCCCGCACACTACTCGCCCTCGCCTGCATCATCATCATCATCATCATCGTCAAGCAGCGGCGGCAGCAGCAGCAGCAGCAACTACTACGCCCACTCCACATACGCGACCGCTACAACAAACAGCAGCAACAGCAGCAGTAGTACCACCGCCGGCAGTTCTTCGTACCCTCACAACACGGGTAGCAACAGCAACCGCAGTTCCTACTACTCCTCACTCGCGAGCACGCCAAGCACTCCCGCCAGTCGCAGCAGCACCAGCCCGGGTGCCCTCTGCGCGCACTGGCACATACCCGCGAGCAGTTACACGCCGAACACCACGACCAACACCGAGCTCCTAGGCTGGTCGTCCCCTCTAATCAGCAATGGCTACACCTATGCCCCGGGCCTCGCAAGCAGCACGAGGACCTTCTTCCCGCCGTCGACTACCACCACCACCCAGTCCCCTTTCAACAAAAACAACACCATAACCACCCACTTGGCCCACCACCCGCCCTCCACAACAATACCATCCCCCACCACCACCACAACCAGCAACCGCCCACTCAAACTCCCCCGCAAACTCAAAGCCCTCCCAACCATAACCAGAACGCCCCCATCCCCATCCCCATCCGCCCTCCTCTCCCCAACCCCAACAACCCCAACAATGCCTCCGCCACCACCCGACCAGCGCCCGCCCTCGCCAATCACCCGCCCAGCCAAGCGCTACGCATCCAACGAGCTCCTCGCGCCCCCAGGCCGCGTGCCCGCCACGAGCCTAGCAAGCCGATACCACACGCGGACGACGCCGCTGTTCGACCGGCTCGACAACGGCTACAACTGCCACCGGTGGACGAACTTTGACCGGGGGCTGGACGACAACGACGTCAAGATGGAGGACCCCGACGACGACGAGGCCGAGGCGCAGCGGGCGGCGCGGCGGCTGGCGGCGAGGAGACGGCATGCTACGATTTGAACAGGACAGGGCAGCGGGTTGGCGGGGAGAGGGGGAAGGGGCCGGGAGGAACATACGGTATTGGTCACGGCCGGGGTTGACTTTCGGGTTCGGGCAGATATAACAGTGGGGCCGAGTCAGTGGCGGAGATAGTCAACGGGTCGGGGTTGGTGTTGGCAAGGCTGGTCGTCGCGGTGGAGGGGGCTGTGATGTGGGTTCAGTTGTATGGACAAGTTGTTGAATATGGTAGTATCTTCCAGTTGATGAACTGAGCCACGATGATAATGGCAATCCATGAAGGCACTCTGGCACTTTTGGATCAAACCAAGGGAGTCTACCCGCTAGGGTGTGATGAGGGATGGTTCAATGGAACGGACAAAACCGAAATGATCACTTGCCTTCGTGCCAATCATGATCCCACTTCTCCCCACGCCATCGGTCAGAAAAGTCCTAAGAAACTTGAAAGCTCACGTAAAAAAACATCAAGACATCCACCACACACGCTCGAACACCCACCAACAACCAAATTAAACATTTAGTATTGACTTTCTAGTACGCTTTAGGTCGCTTTCTTCAACAATTCCAAAAAGCCACCAACGATATAGGACAGGGGTCTGGGCAGTTATCTCCTGCTTCCCGTTATGTTGATAGTTCTTTTCGCGGTGGCGAGCCCAAGACTGATATATGGAATTCGCTGAGCACTAAAAAGGCTGAGAGTAATACCACCCGTGCGCACGAGGTTAATTACAGTCGATTTGCATTATTCGAAGGACAGAAAGAGAACAAATGGATTGCGGCAGGAAACCACCCAACCAACAAAACCAACCACCAGACCCCACAGCCACCAATCCATAATCGGCTGGAGTGATGCGTGGTGAAGAAAACGAACAGAATAAAAGGGGGTATGTTATAACTAAGAGTATGTGGGGTCATGTTCTTCCTCCGACGCCTTGCAAATGCATGGAAAAACAGACAGATATAACGCGGCAGGTCCTGCTGCTGTCCGCAGTCAGGCACAGCAAGGAGGGGAAGCCGAGAAATCGCGAACCTGGCAATGCATACAAGGTCCATGTGCTGCCCGCAGGTGATATTTATTGGGGTGCTGGTGGCCTATCGGACGAGCCCTGTGCGGCGTATGATGATGCCCGTGGCTTCAGGATGTAGGAAGGGGTGGGAGCGAACGATGATCTGCGTGACTGGGTGGTCAACGACCCCGATGCGAGAGAAGAGGGAGATGGTCTGGAAATAGACGACTCGGAGGCGTAAGAGGATCGTTCAAGTGTGGGGAAGGATGACTCGGAGGAATAAGGGGATCTCTCCGGCCGAGGGATAGACGACTCGGAGGCGTAGGAGGATCTCGCCGGTCTAGGGATAGATGACCCCGAAGAAGATGAGGTCTGACCCTCCTATTGGCGAGGAATACCCTGCTTGGCCTGCTCGCCCGTCAGTTTCTAATCGTTCACAGTTGGCGTTGGTTTGGGGAGCAACATACCTTCATCTGCTCGATCCTCGCCTTCAGCTGGCTTGTGACCTCAGCAGCCCGCTTCCAGCTCTCCATCCCGCTTCCACCAGACCCCCCAGCACTTGGCGCCGGTGCGTCACCCAACCTGCTCCCAGCCCGGCTGCCAGGGCCACTACCCGTCCTATCGGGGTGGTTGTTGGTGTACCCGAGATTTCCATTAGAAGCCTCGCGGGTCTCTCGATCATCCGCAGATGCCTCCCGTCTGTACCCTCTCGCCGGGCTGCCACGACCGCTGCTTGCTGTGCTTCCGGCGTACCTAAGGTCGGGGCTCAGCTTGTTGCGTGGATTGAAGGGTGCCTCAAGATTCCCCATCCCATTCTCCTTCTCTTCGCTCATGGTGCTAGTGAAGCTCATGCGATTCCTAGTGGCGCCTGAGGGATACCCGCCATCGCGATAGATGCCGGCATCATCATGTGTTGGACTCATCATTCCGTGGTGTGGGTTCGGTGAGCTGGGGCTACCTGGTCCTGCTGCCTCGGCTTTGCTCAAGGCGCGCTTCAACCTGTCTAGCTCGCGCCTCAAGCGTTCGTTGGTCTGTTCGAAAGCCTCCGCGTCGCTTCGAGCCCTTACCAGCTGTGTTTCCTTGGCCTTAATTGAGAGAACGTCCCTGGTGTGGTCTTCGATCAATCCGGCGTTCTGGTTCTTCAGCTCTTGGATCTCAGACATCAACTTGGAACGGTCGTGTCGTGCATCTTCAATCTGCTTTAGTAGGCGGTCGTTGACGTCACGGAGCTCCTCCAGCTCTGCGCGTTCAACATGGGAAAATCCAGACACTGGGGGTGGCGATGCTGGTGGCGGAGGCTGAGAGAACGCAGCAGGCTTGGCCAAGGAGCGAGTGGCAAGACCACCCCTTCCTAGACCAAGACGCGGTGCCGGCTTCGGCGTGGATGGGGGTGACTCTGGGGGATCTTCGTCGAGAGGCGGAGACGGAGCTGCGGCGCGTCGTGGTGAAGCTGTCCCGAGCCCAGGAAGTGTTCGCTTCTGCGGCGGTTTCAGGCCGCCCAGGCCACCTGGCTTCGGCATACCCATCCTGCTCGGGGCGGCAGCTTGCGGGGCCGGGGGTTGTTGTGCGTATTGGGAGGGTGGCGGGGCAACAGGAGCAGGCTTCTTGGTACCAGCAGGTACTTTCCTGACCACCTTCTTCTGGCCCGGAGGCGGTGCTCGGGCAACGGGTGCTGGCGGCGGCTTCGGCTTCTCCTTAGCTTTGACTTCAGCTACCTCCCAGAATTCCTTAATCTTCGCCTTCCTG